TGTGTTGTATTTGAATCAAGTAAGAGACATCAGCATGCTGTCTTTGGAGACCAAACAGCTTGGCTTTCCAATCATTAATTCATGAAAGAACTAGTAGTTCACTATTTCACTAAGTCTATCATTTCATTAAATTGGCACTAAATGTGTTTAGATTGGTAAACCACTATTCTTATTTCAGTATTTTCCTATTCTTCAGTGTTTCCTTCTATATTTCAGGTAACTTTAGAATTCTTATACTGTACCCTTCCACTTTCTTAAGAATTCTGTCCAACCCAGGCACAATGAGTCATTCCTGTTCTTGGGGACACTGAGGCAGGAAGATCACTTATGCCCAAGAGTTCAAGGACAACCTGAGTAACAATAGCAAAATCCTGCATTAAAAAAGCCTGTCCATTTCATCTGCCCACCTAATACTTTACATACGTAGTAGGCTCAATAAATGAGGTAAATGCTTCCTAAAATCTTCAGACCTGCTCATCAATAACCTTACCCCCCCCAAATTATATAATGTGCCTTAACTGAAAAGCCTCCAGTGACTGAGTCCACACAATGTGCAATCACACTCACACTAACTGTGACATAAATTGAGTCAGGACACGACATACCTCACCAAAACCACCAAAGTACTCTCTTATTTTCTCTTCAGGTGTATCTGGAGAAAGGCCACCAACAAAAATTTTTTTAACAGGCTCTTTTGTTTTCATGGCTTTGGCCCTTTTTGGATCAATGACTTTCCCATTCAATTTATGTTCTTTCTGATCCATGACCTAAAGAAATTAAGTTTTTCACTTTAAGTATAAAAGTTTAAAGTAAGACTTTAACATCCAGAAACAAATTACTTAAAAACAATTAAAGCAACTAACACCAGCATTATGTAGACTGGCTCAAGATTAACTGTTGTCATGTGGTGATCTGATAATCAGCTAACATATCATGGTGTCTAAATATAAGTCAGTAAGAATTGAGGGGAAGCATCACTCAAATTTAACTGGTTACTAGATAATTATCTTTAACTTACAGCAACATAAACCATGGTTGCTACTTCCCTTCAGCCCAGATCCAACCAAAGCAATGACTTAATCAAAAGTTGCTTGTCAAAATCAGACCGTTACCACTGTCAGAAAATCTCAACTGAGGGAAGTAATCTATTCTGAGACTTAGGAGTGAAGGGGGAAAGTTGCCTAACAAAAAATGTTAAAATGGGCACTTTCTGCCGCCTTGTCTTATAGCCTGTTATTTAGGCATTTCAAATCCCCCTTGGAAGAGGTCTGCTGGGGATGAACGTACATTTTGCACATACTAGATATGAACTATACCCAACCAAGTCTCAGCCTTTAAGTTACTTTTAATTTAGTAAAACTTAGCACATGGAAAGTATTCCATAAATAATTCCTCAATCTTCCTCTCCCGTCTCAGTGTACTGGCAAGAACAGGATGTATTGGTGTATTCCCAGCACTTGCAAGGTAGAGGCCATATCAACCTTGAGGTAAATCTAGGCTACATGAGACCTTGTCTCAAACAACAACAAAATGTGTAAGGAACGCATTCTTTCTTAGAAAAGGGAAACCCCAAAGCACAAATTCATTGTATCAAATTGTCCATGTTTTATTAACTAATCAGAATACATAGCACACTACCTTATCTACACTCTCCGATTCTTTAAATAGCACAAAGCCAAAACCCCTTGATCGCCCTGTGATAGGATCTAACTTCAGAGTGCAGTCTACAACTTCACCAAATTTGGAAAAGTAGTCCTTCAGATCTTTCTTTGTAGTGTCCCAGCTAAGGCCTCCTATAAACATTTTCCTGTAAAGACAAAAAGCAGTATTAAAATGCTAAGAAAATTAAACTTTGTCTTATTATTTACCCATATCAGTAACACACCTTTTCCAAACTGCATCAATATATTGGATAGTAATAATAAAATGTTATTTGTACTATAAAGGCACAGATCAAAAACATTCTATTCTTTAAAGTTCCACTTAGCATTGATGCTTCTGATCAAGTATAAAATAGTGAGCAAGAAGCAATTTACTATAATACATTTATACAATATATATGTATATATAAATGCATGCCAAGTAAAAATGTTTAACACTTTTTCCTGACAAAATTTTAGCTTCCAATTTCTTTCAAATCCTCATTAAATTTGTCAAAAAGCTATGCTTTAGTCTCCATTGTCACAACCACCAGCATCCTATTTGTACTGGTGTTTATTGTCAATAGTTCTCCCATTTGGAGAGCTTTTAGCACATAAAATGGAAAATTCTTAGTCCCCCAAATTATGAACTAACCTTGTTCATGTGCAAGAGTCCTTAATAAAGACAAGAGTAATCATGTAAACCTGGCAAAAAGAATTATCCATTGAAATCACATTTTGCTAACTTAAAATAATTTACTTAAGAGCAGACCCTCAGTTAACCAGTAATTAAGTGTTTAAGCCTGTAAAAAAAAAAAAAATGCTAAAAGTGATAGGTGGTCACCCAAAACAAGATTATA